ATATTTAAATAATTACTGTATTTTCCATTAAATGATATATATCAGAAGATTCTTTAGTATTTGTTTTATCTTTTTCAAATGTCAATTGAATTTAATTTATTAGGAACAGCACAACACATTTTATTGATATCGTTAATTAATTAAATGTGCGATCAATTAATATGTGTATCTTTAAAAATTTATTCAAAGTGTAATATCATAAAAATTACCTTATGGCTTATAGTAGATAATACATAGCATTAAATTTCATGAAAAAAATCAACATTATGCTCAATTGAGATTAAATGTATCCGCAGGTGTTGTTTTAATTATGTTATAACAATACTTTTATTATGTGAATTTATCATAAAAATGTTTAAAAACTTGTCAAATTTTACAAGTGATGCCATCCCGAAAAGATTTATTTGTTTTAAATATCAAAATAGAATATAAAATAGTATTATATGTCTATATATGCAAAAAGTGTTACTATTCATAATTTGTTTTTTATCGCTAAACGTTTAATTTTCATTAATTTTTAACTATCCCTAATTTTAAATAAACTTGAATGTGCTAAAACTGCATTATGATCCACAATTAGATCCTATAACTAGATGTGTATCATTAATTTCGTTATATATATCAGTTTCATTATTCTTATGGGACATACGTAGTAATGAAAAAGAATAAAGCATTAATCTGCAATTAGTACATGGAGTCTAATTGTGGATAATTATTATTATTTTATTTAATTCAAATTAAAACATAAAAACGATAATAAAATGGAATAAAATCGTTCATAATGTAATCTTTACGAACAATCATGACTATTGAATATTTTATTAATTGTTTAATTTTATTCTGGATAAAAATATAAATTTTTTTTTTAAAGAATGATCCACTAGTTTTATCTAAATATTTTATCCTAAATATAAAAATCGACTAAGAATATTGATTTATGTTTATAATATTTTGGATTTATCATCAATTCATTCGTTTTTTGGTTTGAATTCAATTTTAAACACTTACGTTCCTCCACAACACTAGACGTCTTAAGCAAAAGTCATATATTTAAAATTATAATATAATAACGTAGACGTTTCGAGTTCAACATTTGATCATCAGTACATACAAAAATAAAGATGTCAAAATTAAAAACATAAAATTAATAAAGATGTCAAAAATGAAAACATAAAATTAAACAATAAACGCTAATCAGAAAAGATTGTAAAACGTTTTTCAATTCGCTTATGGTACGCGATAACAAAGTAATTTGACAAAACTTGAAGTTGAACATTACTTAATCACAATGAATTATTTTCTATTATACGTAGGATTCTTTATTATTTATTTATCGAGAAGTAAAGTGCGATTCCGTGTGGCAAATACATAATTTCCAGATTCTAATGAAAATATTAAAAAAAAAAGAAATGATTTTTTTAACACTATTACTTTGCAATATTACTAAATTCTTATTCGTGCGAATTAATTTAATTACATAACAAAAAAATTGCTTACCACGTATTTTTTGACCTCGCAAGTGTAATTCGAAGTTAAGTATTGTGGCTGAATGCTCCCTTTTATTTTGTATTGGTAAGTCACTTTTAAAAAATTTCAACTTACGTCGCCCTCGTGAAATATGGCACCAATTTCTCTACAGTTATGGCGGCGGTATGGATATACTTAAATTGATGTTACACGCAATGGATATATATTGTATTTCGATAGGGCGTTAGCGTCATCTCGCTGCACGGTAGCGCAGTTCTAGTAATTCCTATGCCGGAGTAACAACGGGAATTAACATCGCTTGTTATGTTTGCCCCGATGACTCCTGCGCTCCGCGACTTCTCCGTTCCATTTCTATGGAAATTCATGTTTCACTTAGGATAGCGTCTCCATAAGCAACGAGCTTCTTCTCCGCATGAGCGAACGGGGTGGCCTAAGATGTGGCCGTGTTTACGCCTTTCCCGGAAAACGGACGTTCTACGTCAGCGTCGGCGTCGGCGTCGGCGC